TAAAGAGATACTGTATTGAAGGGGTTACTATTGATAAAGAGATACTGTATTGAAGGGGTTACTATTGATAAAGAGATACTGTATTGAAGGGGTTACTATTGATAAAGAGGTACTATATTGAAGGGGTTACTATTGATAAAGAGATACTGTATTGAAGGGGTTACTATTGATAAAGAGATACTATGTTGAAGGGGTTACTATTGATAAAGAGATACTGTATTGAAGGGGTTACTATTGATAAAGAGGTACTATATTGAAGGGGTTACTATTGATAAAGAGATACTGTATTGAAGGGGTTACTATTGATAAAGAGGTACTATGTTGAAGGGGTTACCAGTGATAAAGAGGTACTATATTGAAGGGGTTACTATTGATAAAGAGGTACTATATTGAAGGGGTTACTATTGATAAAGAGATACTATATTGAAGGGGTTACTATTGATAAAGAGGTACTATATTCAATAGTGTAATGGTAGTGAATGAATAACATGTTAAAGATGGTGAAACACTGTTACATGTAAATTTAGTTATGTGAGTGAGTCAAGTATTAATAAATCATTTTAATGTACGAAGTGTTAAAACATAATTTACAATTAGTAAGTGGATAATAAAAGGGTATTTTAAACAAGGTATTTGATTGAGAAAGATGTAAGAAACTTAAAGGAAAGAGGATATTTTATTAAACTATAATTAATTTTCGTTTGAATAACAAATAATAATAATAAAAGAAGATAATATTGTGAAATGTAACGTTTAAGATACACTTATATGAGAACTCTGTTTGGAAATGTTTCAGCCTTCTTTTGCAAGAAATTAATATTTTTTTAATGTTTTTAATACCTGTACATGGTACAAGGCATAGTGCAAGACGTATAATACAAATGTTATACTCAAAGTTTAAGTAAAAGTGAACCATGTTGTCTTCAGATGAAATACAACCTCGGTTTACTTGTTGTAGTTTTACGGCAATATTTTAATCCTTTAAAAAAGTCAAACGAAAAATATTACTAGGTATTGAGTGGTGAGTTTCCCAGCGTTATTTTAATGTAGGTTGTAAGTTTCAATGTAGTGAGCTTACAGGTGTTATTCATCAAGATATGATTTTATTTTCTATATTTTGAGATGGTGACTTTCTTAGACTTGTTCTAGATGATCTGAGGTTGGTAGTGGCCTATAGTTCATATCATCACTGGTTAAGATACTAGTATATGTAAAGATTTAACTTGAACAGGCTGACAACAAAAGAAAGTCCAGGATTACGTGATGAATATTCTAACTTAACGTATAACATTATGTATAGTAAGTCTGGAGTTTAGCTTAGTGTTGGCTAAATAGGTTAAATATTTATTTCAGTGCCCTAATATTTCACATGGTGTATTCATAAAATCTCCTCTAGGTACAGGCCATGGGTGGAGTCTTGTAAAAAGTGTAACTTGACGTAAGAATCAACTTGTTTGGTTCCTCTGCAAGGTCATCTTTCTTAATAACCCTCGATGACAAAGTTAGGAAGGACATCTATGGTTTACTTCTGAGAAATGACCGTGAACAAGAGAGTATAAAAGCCAGAAGAGTTTCCAGAGTGTGTATCGAGGTACTGTTGTTGGTACAGATTTCCTTATTAAGGTAGCTGTTGATTCTACATTCAATCACTACAAAGATGATGCGATTGGTAAGTGTTGTCAAAACTCTTTGATCCTAGCAACCATTACCGTTATGAATATCACAATGTGTACGTTTTAAACTTGTCGTACCGTGTTCAAATGTTGAATTCAATTTTCCAGTTGTTTAAGATAAAATTAAATATCACCTGTCAAACTTATTTTTAAAACAAAGTTTTGACTCTCCTGTTAAATATAAACGACAATAGTTATTTTAAATTCCCTCGTTCTTCTAATACGTATACATATAAAGACGATCTAATTTATTTTGTAGTTAAAAATTAGTCACTATAGATTAGTTCTAGCTACAGATAAAATTAATGAAAACAACGTAACAAACTGTGTTTATTCTCTATATAATGAACTGATGGAATCTGTTACAGAGGAGTGAGAGTATGTTCATAGAACTGGATTCGATTTCTAATGAGAACGTTTCTTTCTTTAGTTCGTGTTTAATCATTTTTGATTAAGTTATGCTGTTTTATTCTCTCGTTGATTGTAGTAGTTTATATATTTTTACACAATAGATGATTTATATATTAAAACAATCTTGCTTTATTAAATTCCTCCCCTTATACAACTTTTAAATGACAAAGTTTTTGTATTTTCTACTAAGGTAATTCTTGCTTGTGTCTGCACTGTTGCTTTGGCGGGGATCTTCCCCTACAACGTTCCAGAAGGCCAACACGACCCGGCCTACCTGCAGGCTCTACAGCAGCAAGCTCTCCATTACATCAACCTACAACAGGTACCGGATCTCCAGCTTCATAGAGCTCGTGAGCTTGAAGTAATTGCCAAGAATCCTACTGCCTACCACCCTGGTTACAACTATGCTGGTCATTACTACCCTGGTAATTACTACAGTGGTTACTACCACCCCGGCCACTATTACACCGCTTTGCACCACAATGCTGCCCTTCATCAACATAGTCTGAATGAGCAGAAAGTCATCAACGAACAGAAGGCCTTGATTGCCGGTCAATAAACCAGTGGACTTGTTCATGATTCCTTTCCCTTGGTCTATACATACCTGCATAAAATAATAGAGAAACTGGATAATAATATCTATAATTAACTTCACTAGCTAACTTTACATTAAAGGTGATGCGTTTTAGAAGACCGGATAATGTACTGCTTAAAAGTGATATAAAATGAACAAATGACGTTGCCACAAATATTTGTGGTAACTGCATTCGCTTAACTCGCTTGAAATATTTTTGTTATTTACTTTGCTAGATTCTGTCTGCCTTATGTTATTGTATTCATAACTCTAAGAGACAAATGTACAGATATCTTACTGCCTTGTATTAAAGAGCCTATTACTGAATCCCCTTGAAGAGTCAGTTTCTTTTACGTTCTACCGCATTTGATTATTGTGATTTTATTACACAAAAATATTTCAATAGCTGTATAAACTATTGTTCACATACATCTTGGTAACATTTGACCCATAATTGTTTATTGAAAAAAAAAGCCAGCCATAAACACACGTATTTGTAAATATGAATCATACATGGATATCTATTTATCGAACTAACATACTGGCATACTAACTCATGTTTTGAGTACTGATCACTTATGTTCACATGTGTTCTCAGGAGGGACAGCGGAAAGCTAAAATCCCCGCAGTGTATAAAACGAACAAACAAATATTCAAATGTTTTCGTTGCAGACTTCCTGTTTGGACAGATTGTTTGATATTATTAATGTACAAACTATGAGAGTTATCAAAATTTCAGTATTATATCCCAACCTTCACACAGCTCATGTTAACTTTGAGAAGTAGCTTTCACAACCTAACAATTTGATATAGGTATAAATCAGACAGTTAAGTTTAAGCTGCTACGTTTCTGGTTATTACTGTCCTGGTTACTGATATGAATTGCAAAATAATGTAATAATATAAGTACTGTAATCGGAACTATAAAAGATTGTCATGTCCTGTCGGAACGCGCCCGGCATGGCCAGGTGGTTAGGGCACTCGATTCGTAATATGCGGGTCGCGAGTTCGAATCCCCGTCCCACCAAATATGCTCGCCCTTTCAGCCGTGGGGACGTTATAATGTGACGGTCAATCCCACTATTCGTTGGTAAAAGAGTAGCCCAAGAGTTGGCGATGGGTGGTGATGACTAGGTGCCTTCCCTCTAGTCTTAAACTGCTAAATTAGGGACGGCTAGCGCAGATAGCCCTCGTGTAGCTTTGCGCGAAATTCAAAACAAACAAACAAACAAACCTGCCGGAACTTAGCTCGCTGTATATGACATGTGTGATAAACAGAACACTCTGTTTAACAGTTTTTCTCATTCTAAAATTCAAAATGAAAAAATCGATTTATATTTTAACGTGATTTCAACCTTTAAAACCAAGTATTTTTTATATTTTAACGTGATTTCAACCTTTAAAACCAAGTATTTTTTTATATTTTAACGTGATTTCAACCTTTAAAACCAAGTATTTTTTATATTTTAACGTGATTTCAACCTTTAAAACCAAGTATTTTTTTATATTTTAACGTGATTTCAACCTTTAAAACCAAGTATTTTTTTATATTTTAACGTGATTTCAACCTTTAAAACCAAGTATTTTTTATATTTTAACGTGATTTCAACCTTTAAAACCAAGTATTTTACTTCTCGTGTGAGCAGATATTTACTTTTGTTTTAATTTAGCGCAAAGCTATGCAATGGGTTGTCTGCGATTTGTCCGTTTGGGGAATTCAACACCGAATTCCAGTGTTATAAGCCCTGAATCCGACTACCGAACCGAGAAGGGATATGTACAAATAGATAGAAACAATTTCTGTAAATTATAACAAAATATGGTTTTTTGAAAGTAAATTACACAAGTTAACCTTCTACTGAATTTTTAACCAATCCAGTCTGCATCTTATTAAAACCTAGACTTTAACAGGAGCAGGTTAATGTGCTTATAAAACGTTGCTCTATCACTTATTGATTAAACACATTATATAATTTAACACCAGAAGAATGTACAAGAGAAGTGGGTTAAAAACTTCACTGTTGTGAGACACGTGTTAGAGAAAAATAAAATAACTCTCTCTGTTTACTATTACATTTTAGTTTTTCATTTTTGCATCGATAAGAAAGTCATTCAATTTACATCAACGGATTGTTGTAGTCATTTTCTATACAAGCTAGCTTTATTTGGGGCTTAGCGTTAGAGTTATGATGCTCTAGTTCACTACTACTAAACATTTTCTAAAGAAGCTAGGTTTATTTGGGGCATAGCGTTAGAGTTATGATGCTCTAGTTCACTGCTACTAAACATTTTCTATACAAGCGAGCTTTATTTGGGGCTTAGCGTTAGCCTTATGATGCTCTAGTTCATTGCTACTAAACATTTTCTATACAAGCTAGCTTTATCTGGGGCTTAGCGTTAGAGTTACGATGCCCTAGTTCACTACTACTAAATATTTTCTATACAAGTTAGCTTTATTTGGGGCTTAGCGTCAGAGTTATGATGCTCCAGTTCACTACTACTAAAAATTTTCAAGACAAGCTAACTTTATTTGAGGCCTAGCGTTACAGTTATGATGCTCTAGTTCACTGCTACTAAACATTTTCTATACAAGCTAGCTTTATTTGGGGGCTTAACGTTAGAGTTATGATACTCTACTTCACTGTTACTAAAACTAGTTATTAAACTTAATTGATAGAGATACGTTTCAACTGTAGAGTTATTTAATCGGAACAAAAGCCACAAAGCATGCTTAGACTTGAAAATTAACAAGATCACGTGTTGGAAATAAGGTACAACGATACCGCTTCTCCAACCTGCCAAGGAAAACGTCTCTCGGAGCGGAAGAACAAAGGACATCACGTATTTGGTTTCAGATTACTTTGACAAAAGAAGGTTAAAGAATCTGCAAGCCCGAAAACGTTTGCTCTACTTTTTTTTTTATACCGTTATTTGAGAAATAAAACAAAAATGAATCTAGAAAACCTGTCGCCCTTGAGATCGCCCTGTTCCGCTTGATTTCACGTATTTTCGCTTGTCAAAACTTCATATCTTCCATGTTATAACATGACATGTTTATACATGACTGGAATTCTGATGAGTTCAGCCACATTTGCTTCTTCTTCTTCTTCTTGGAACTTATTCATAATTTCAATTCAAAACCTTGAGAACAAACTCGGGATTTTTCCAGTTTATTCTTTAACTTTACAATATTTTTGTTGTTGGATTACTTCATCCATTTTGGTATTTTTATTTCGGTTAGATTTTGTAGACGTTCAAATGGTGAAATGAAAGAAGCTGCACTGGTTTGTTCCGAAAATCTTAATTTATCTCGTCATAACAACAAAATGATTCTCGCCTCTTGCTGAAACTGAAATATCAACAACAACAACAAAATAATTGTAGCCACTTGAACCTACAAAATTTTCATTGAAACATTAAACAAAAAAGAATGAACATGAAATGCCATTTTAAAAGCTATTATAATTAATTTAATCAACTCGTTCCAACATCTGGAAGTTCATGAACAATCCGTCAATTTTTGTTTCTCAGATTCTATTTTGCATTCAGCAATGCTGTGTGATGTGAAAACATAAATTCATTTTTGTGACATTAGTACTTTATGTAAAACTAAGTTGTGCGCTTTCTTTCATACCCGATATTAAGTTCAGACATTATACGTGTAAAGTATCGCTAGAGTAATAAATTTGTATTAAGTTATTAATTCTATGTCATTCGCGAGTAGGATATTTTGATATCATTAGGTTCTGATGTAAGAAATAATTTTTTGGAAGTATTATTTTATTTTGTTTAGCTCCACCATTACCGATGGAGTCCATATGGACTTCCATCAGAGCTTTTAAAACGATTTTGCTAAGCTATTTATGTACAAAATTCCTTGTGAGTCCAGAACTTTGTTGATTAGAGCAGTGGTTCCCAAACTCTTTTAGTCTGAGGCTCCCTTGATGTGAATAAAACGGTTTAATGCACCCAACCTATAGAAATGCCTTAAAATATGATTTTAAAATGCCCCTCCTCACTAGTGTAGCATGATGACTGAAAAACAGTGTCGTAGTAAAAACAATAATATCTCCTTTCGACATACTGTATCATTTAATTAATTCAACATAAGTTTGATCGACTTATTGTTTATTTAGAGCTAAAATTAATTCTTTGTTTTTGGCCCATTTTTTGGCGACCCTCCAGAAAAAGCCTCACGGGTCCCAGGGGAGCTGCGGCTCCCACTTTGGGAAACACTGAATTAGAGGGGCCGTTATAGTATATGAGTCACTCAAGAAATTTAAACACAAATAAAAGTACCGTCAGTGTTAAAATTGGTCCCGTTAATTAGTGTAAATGATCTCTATATATTTTACATAGAAATTAACCGATTTCACCTAGTTTGTATTGTCAATTTCTTTTTGTACAATACGTGCTGTCGTAAGCAAAAACATAGAATTACTCGATATAACATAATATGTGGACTCCACCGCTAGCCGTCCCGAATTTGGAACTGTAAGCAACACCCACCGACAACTCTTTGGCTACTCTTGTCTGATGGTCGAATTTGACAGTCACCTTTATAACGCATCCACGGCTACTGAGTGTGGAGCGTGAATTATTTTCTTTTTTTTCTCTGCAGTAACGCGACAGAAATTTCACCTTGGGAGTTACATGGACGTTAGGACAAATTTTAACCCCCTATAACACTCCTTGGGGGGGGGGTGGCTAAGATTGTATGTCAAGTTTGACTGAGATCAATCTGAATCTATGGATGTAAAACGCGGACACGTAGGTAGAAAGTAGCTTTCCAGGGGGTGTCGCGGGGAGTCAGGTCCGAACTCCTACTACCTTTGACAATCTTCGGGGGCACTAAGGGTAAATGTCCAGTTTGGTTAATATGGTTTAAAAAATAGAAGTAAAAAGCAGACATACACAAGACATTTCTGATTTACATATAAACGTTAATGCAGAGAAGCCTTGCGACAGATGATATAACTGGAAACCAAAGTACTAAACCGATCATGGTACTGATTTATTTTACATTATAAACTATTTCACCGGAAAATGAACATAAAGTAAGGGTTAAAACTTGCTCAGAGTTGGAGAACTTTCAAAACCCTATCTGTCTGTCTGTTTGTCTTTCGGTCCAAACAATATTGATAGAAAGTACTTATGAATATTTTGTAATTTTTTTGTTTACAATCGATATGTAGCTATATTCAAAAGCGTTACTAACGAATCATTTCTCTGTTGCATTTTGCTACAAAAAGATCGGAAACTGGAACAAAAATTAAAATTATTATTAGAATTATTCCTGTGTTGAGTGTTGCTATAAAATATCATAC